TGAAATGTAGGTGGGGATTTTAGGTAAGACATAGTGTAATACATTGTATTGTGATCTACTCCAAATTAGCAATAACACCATTAAACATACGACTTTTCTATAGACGCAAGGCATTAACTCACGAATGTGCATCTTAATAGTATTGTATTTGTAGGAATGGTAATAGTCCAGGAATTTCATTTAATTCCGCAGTTCATTATCAACTAGTTCAATGCAGATCTGACAAACATGCGATACTGTATCCATCTATGTGTCAGCATTTGAATCATTTTGTGAAATAAATTCGCCATGTGCTTCAATAGGCATGACCAGCTTACCCACTGGCCTGATAGTGGTCCTGGTCGACATACCCATTACGCTGCTACCGCAGTGAGCTGAGAGAGATTCCAAATGAATTTAGTTGATACTGAATAAATGAATGTCATTGTATTAGGTCTAAGGTAGGAGTATATTAATCTCCAATCTCTCATCGAAAACCTAAATCCCTAATTGGAGTTCCTATATTGACACAGGGGGTCGCTTAAACAATAAAATATGTACGAAAATGGATGCAGCTACCTCGAAAATGTATATTTTGACACCAAACTTGATCCTTATGTCAACTTCGAATTCTCCCGTCAAAACTGACCGCCATCTTGAATGACGCCCAAATAATCGCAAAATTAATGTGTATGGAAATGGGTCCCGTCATCCCAGAAACGTGTATTTTGATACCAAACACGATCATTTTATGATAATTGGGTGGATATTGCAATTTACAAGCCAAAACCGGCGGCCATTTTGGAGTTTAATTCATTAGTCCCATTTGGATACGAATTTCTGACTGGTACTTTTTTGGGGGGTGATAATATACGTCTAGATCGACCGTAAATTGTGGTCGGCATTTCTATTGCAGCAAAATTTGTCAGCTTTGTCATTCACATTACATTTTCAGTGGGAACTTTGCTATTATAGTTTGATGGTTTTTATTTTTTTAAGGTTTTTTAATTCCGTACAGACTAGATTATTGTGAAAGCTGCCACTCCAGAATGAATAGCAGTTCAATTTCGTTTACAAACATATGACGAACTGAACATTTGTCAACATTCGACATTCACTGTAGACGATATAAGCGGGATAATTAGCCAGCGCCAGTTATATTCTTCGCTGAATTCTTTTGACGAACCTTTTTTTTTAATCCAATTGGATTCTGATCGGGAGGTTATCTACTATTGACATTTTCATTTTATTTCCTTTATCAAATTTTAAATAATTCATTTGGGTACTTGTTATGGTTGAGTAAGTCTTGAAAAATTAGATATTGTACGAAAAATGCAAATGATAATCGGGGGGGGGGGGGGGGTGGTAGCCGAATGGTTAACGTCTGCACTTTAGATCCTGTCGTCATTACGTCAAGTGGCGCATAACTCTGATGGTCACTATTCAAAAACGTTGAAAAATCCATGTCATTCTTTGTTTCTATAGACAATCTATATCAATTTCAATACGATTATTGATTATGGTCGCCTTAGTATAGTAACCTGTGTATTAAACAATCGAAGAACTGAAGCGAGTGTCGGGTTATAGGAAACTTGGGTTGTCTCCGAGAAAGAGGCCTTGGTCTGTGCAGGCCTAAATAGCAACAAACGATGATAATAGTGGTGGTACTTACGAAATAGATAAATAAATAAAGAATTTTTTTAAATATAATGAAGACAGGCTACGCCATAGAGTGTGCTATTGGGGAAATTTTGCCCCTACAGCAATTGAATTCCAACTGTCAATGGTTCTTTTACGTACACGTAACGACTCGATCACTGGACTGTCTTGACATGCTCTCCGTTCTGCACCACTAGTAAGGGGGAACCACGCTGGAAAACCCCGGAGGGAATTTCACGGCCAACACCAAGAACGAACACCGAACCTCTTGGTTAGTGAGCCAACACCTTACTCACTGCCACTGGACTACCGTGGCTCCCTAATCTCAAAGGGACCAGATAATCGGTCATATTCCTCGCAGTGTTTCGTTTGATTAGACCTAATCCCAGTGGGAGTTGCTTCAGGAATATGATAATCGGTATAAAAGTGGCTATAGTCAGGCAGCTTAGGCTTGTCTACGATATCATCCATGGTGGAAGTGGACGCAAAACTCCGAACGAACGGCAGCTTAGGATTTGAGATGTGCGTGAACGTTACGGACAAAAGCTCCTGATTTTCCTCAGATGCTGTCTATTACCTTCGCTTTTAATTTTTGATAGGAACCACTTCCTCCGAATATATTATGGCAGCCATCTTGGGTCTTCATGATTCCCGCTATGCAAGAACCTGTATCTACCAATATCTCAGCTTCCAAACCACTTAGGATCTTCGTCTTGGTGCCTAAACCTACATTTGTAGGGTCAAGGAATACACACGGTCGAACCCCACCCCACCCACCCTGCTCAGCTACATAATTATTTTTGTAAATCAACACTTTTGATTTCTCGGCCGTGTGATTTATCCTTTATCGTCAAATGTGGGACAGGATGGACACTCAAAGCACGAGATAATAGGCGTTTTTGTGAGTCGATTAGATTAGGTTTTGATTTGCTAGTACGATTTGGTATGATTTCGATTTGATTAGCTATGGTCCACAAATGTGAAATTTGATAATTACGATTTGGTAAGATGGCTGCCACCACGGACACCGATCAGAAAAAAAATTGTCTCTGCTAACATGACGAGGGGGGCGTGTGTTTCACGTGTAGTCCAAGTTACCTACAGATTACAGTGACACTGCTGGCACCCAGAGGGCCTAAAATTGCTTAGAGCCAGAGGTGATCTAACATTCTTGTGGACTATAAAGTTAACATTAAAGGAGCTAAATCGCTAACATTTGGGACCTAGAAATTGACAAAAGTGGGTCGCAATGCATATAATACAGTAATATGAATGTATATAAACTGATTTACATTCAATGGTTTCCGTTTTTACTCCAATTTCAAATCCGTTATGTTCGGCGAAATAAGCCAGCAGTCTCAAGCGAGTGCAAATTTCTAGCGTCTGGTTATTCCAGTTTACATACGCCGTTTGATTTGGTGCAATGTGTCTAGCCTCGTCCCTCGAGTCTCTTGATACAACTAGGGCTGAAGCGCATTATGGTACACGATTCGTGTACCAATGGTAAAATGTTTATTTTGTTTTAAATATTGGATATCAAAAGCCCATCTTTTCCCGTTAAGATCACAACATGAATGTTGATATAATTTGACAAATAAATCGTGTTTTCAATGTTGAAGATTTTGGATGATATTGAGTTAGAGACTTAGCTACTTTAAACACATCAAATGCGTTTTAAAAAAACAATTTTTATGGAGAAAAACAACAATAAGCATTAAAAATTACTTACGATGTCGAACATTCCGCCATTTTGAAAACGTCAAATCTAATCGCCTAAACACCTCCTGGGACGATTAGGTCGATTTGCCTAATCAGTTGAGTTAAATCGTCTCACAAATGTAACGATTAGCATAATCAACTTGGTTCACAAATGCGTATAATAGCTAATCGGTCTAATCTAATCGGTTCACAAAAACGCCTAATGATATCGACATTATTTAATATCACAATTAATGCTTTGCATCCATGAAATTGAATCACAATGTCATTGTATTAATTCATAATAAAAATTGACGTCAAACGAGGTGTTGAAGCTCAATGTGTATGTATATACGCCAAAATGACGATAGAGACCATGCGGGAGGGGGTGGGGGGAAGATACATTGTCTCAGGAACCTGCCCCCCCCCCCCTGCAAAAATTCCTGGATCCGCCCATGATACATTTATACCATCAGGAAAAGGATCAGATTGTTTTTATTGCCACAAAAAAGAAAGCATTCATACAAGTTAAAATCATTCTTTTCAAACTTCCAACATTCGTTACTTCCCTCAGAATAAAAAAAATTGATTGAAATTTTCAATATTACTTTTCCATTATCAGTTTTTAATCTGTCAGCCCTTTATCTACATCTAACATAATGCATCTCGAGGTGGTGATAATAATGACCGAGTTCTAATATTACTTTTCCATTATCAGTTTTTAATCTGTCTTCCCTTTATCTACATCTAACATAATGCATCTCGAGGTGGTGATAATAATGATCGAGTTCTAATAATAACACACAAATACAGGCAGTTTTTACCTGGAAAATAAAGCAAAAAAAATTAATAGGTAAACACGGTAAGAAGTAGTCATAGTGATTTTATTAGCTTTTAACGATCAGAACACCGAGAAACAATAAAACAAATTTAAAGGATGTTATAAAATTAAATGGGATTTAACGTACTACTGTTCTGCTCTGACTGGGCTAATGAAGGCGGGCATAGACCATTACAATGTGCAATATTGGGAATTTTTTGCACTACGGTCAACTGCCAAGGAATGTTTTACGTATGCACGCACGGGTTTTCGTCTTGCGCCATTATTGACAAGGGGGGGGGGGGGGGCACGCAGGAAAATCCCGTCAAACTTTCTCGACCAAGACCGGGATCGAACACGGGACCGTAACGTCTTGCTTACTCGCAATCGCGGTTCCCTAAAATGTCAATAAAGGTAGGTAGACGGATTTAATCAGTATATAATTTATCAAATATGAAATCGGAAGAGACGGAAAACCATGTTATGTGTAGAAATTTTGGAGAGTTGAATTGTTAACCTTTAGGCTAAAACGCAGCTGCCCGGGCTAATATACATAGATCTCCCGCCCGCCTCATGCACCTTCCGTGTGTATATGGATTTTTTTTTATGAATACGATATTATATAAAATTAATTATACATTTATTTTTTGTTTGAAACTGATAATCCAGGATAGCGAACAATTGATTTATAACTGTCAATTGATACGAATGTCACATATTTAAATCAGTGATTTCTTTTGAGTCACACCTTGACTGTTATAAACAGAAAACTTGATGATCATGTCTTTACAGGTGACATATTATAATAACTGGAAGATCGAGTGTTTACAGGTAACGGCCCAGGTGTTGTCACGTGACTGTGTCACTGTCGCCGCCATATTAGAAAATGACATCAACAATGTGAGAAAAATGAATATTCATTCGGCAATTTCTCGTTTAACGAGATTAACGGTACTATTTGCCGTTATTTTCATGAAGTTTGGACAATGTGCCTTTGATACACGTTTCCGAATAACGGCAAGGACCACGATTGGTGAAGTGGAAGGGTTTTCGCAGCCCTCCCAGTACATGGAGAAACCAAACCTTTGGACCAATATATTTTTAGGGATTCCCTATGCGAGACGACCAGAACAGTATGATGATTTTAAAAGGGATTTTAGGTTTAAGGTAACTTATTGCTTAATCTTGGTTTATTAATTCCAGAATAAATGTTAAATATAAAACGTAAGACATAATATGTATGTACACAATAAAAATACGTTTTATTCAAAATAGTTTGGTCAATAAATTTTGGAAATCTATCACTTTTTCGTATTTAAAGATGCATTCCCACCGTTCCCATGAATATTTATACGGTAGTTATTTCCAATGAAAGTATGTTAATTTGATATTAACAACATTTATAGAAATTATATTTAGAAACATCCAATAATCTTCCTAGAAAGATACTGGATTGACTGAAAAACATCTAAGGGGTACACACAATTAAGACAAAAATTTAAGTGTATCACTAACTAGTGTCACCTTGTTGTCTGCATCAGTGAATTATTGAGCGCTAGGTACATGTATGTGCTGGTCATATAGCTAGCGGTTGTGAAAACAGTGAGATACTAAATAGTGATGAGTGGTGAAAAAAACTGATGATTTCACTGTATGACTTGAAAGTATAGTTAATTAACTGTATTTTTTTAAAAGTAATTTTATAAAATTCTTAATCAATTCAAATATGTCTATAATGATTGTATTGATGAATTATTTAGCATGGCTCTAAAACAAAATGTATATTTGTTTTATATTAGGTAACCACAAAATGATGAGATAATTGAAGGCCATTGTTTGGTTTGTCACTTGTTACCTTTAGGTTAAGATATCTTTTAATCTAACTGATTGATTGACTGACTGAGTGATTGGCTGCAAATTAGCACTAATCTTACAATATACATCTTTTCAGAAATCCACTTTTTAGGTTACATGTCAAAAAAAGTCTTGCATGGACATAAAAAGTAATAACAGAAAATGTTTAATGCCTTCTTATTCTTCTTATAAATTTGTTAAAACTGATTTAAATCTTTTTTTTGTAAATTATAATAAATCAGATTTGTGTCAGACTTAATTTACTTCTTTGGTGCTATAAAATTTGAGGCTAGTTATTTTAGAAATATTTATATATGCCATGAAATGTAATTGAAAAGTAATTGAAATGTAATTCGCCATTACACGATTTCTGGAATGTAATTAATTACATTTCCATTACTTTTGAAATCTTCCATTACTCATTTCATGGCCATTACTTTAAAAATATAATGATTACATTCCATTACCCATTACCATTACCCCTGCCATGAAACCAAATAGAAGTTACAGAGAACAAAAATTTTACTTTCATGTAGTAAATTGACTTCAAGTAACAACAAATACAACCTGAAATGGACCATCTTTTGAGCATGTCAGTGACAACCAAGGCTGACAAATAATATGGAAAATTCAATAATAAAAAAATGAGAAAGGAATAAAGAAATAAAAAAAAATAATAATATAACAATAATAGTACTAATAGGCCGTATTCTCGGGGTGGAAATCTTGTCACCTTCGCTCCCGCTAAACCGGTCTACAAATCGGACTATCAATAATCGTACAATCAATATGTCAACAAAGTTCTCCAATAAAATTTGCCAATTTAATAGTTCAAGCTCGAAATAGGCTATAAATCGATGACTTATTTCTTTATAGTGCAGAGCCATATTTGCGTAGATGTAAGTTGGATCCTGCGCATCTATTTAAAATTTGGCCAATCAGCGGTCTCGCTTGCGGGGTTGCGGTCAAAAATTCTTGGGTCAAGTGCCAGGTCATAGCATTTGTAACCAAAGCCATGCGAACGATTTATCTTGCAAATCGCTCGCGGTTGGGACGAACAGAGATCAAATGAACCGCAAAAACGTCCAATCCATGTAGAGAAGTGGTGTATGAGAGCCACAAAAGGTATTTTGATCACACTGACTTAAAATGTGGCAGTCAGTCTGTTTTTTTCGACACTGATTAAGGATATTAGACCGGTCTACTTCACTAGAAAAATGCCTTAATATCAAGGGAGATTACAGAGAATGCAACAAGGTCACTGCTTCTATAAGTGTAATTCTAATAAAATCATTCATTTTACATAACAAAATACTTAAAACCTGTCTAGCCTGCTGCCTTCATAATGATCATGGATAGGCTAGTGTATAGCTAAGATTAAGAATGAAAAAACATATTTTGAAATAAAGGTTGAAAACTTAAAAAGTTGCAGAAATATTAAGAAGAAATGCTTAAATAATTTGAACTAGCTCAGAATTGTCAGGGAAAAGCCCATATGGACAAAATAAAATTTTGCATCTACAATGTATAGCTTACAATAGATATATGAATTCAAAATGGGTTTTGTCTGCAATTGCGAATGAACCAGATGCCCCCCCCCCCATCAATATGGGGCTCACCTACGTCATAGTTTACATGTAATCATCGATAAAAGTGCCATACACACTTTCAATGTTGGAATCTTGCTTCTGATTAATAAATATTCTGATTTCTTTAAACAAATCCAAAACTTATTACCTTTGATTTGAAAAATATTTTTGATCACCTAAGATAAATAAAATACAATTTAATGGAGGATTTACACTAAGAGTAAGACACTAACTCATTTAGTAGTTAGAATAAGGCTACCGGTATTTGTTTCACTGGACTTATCAAAACAGCAAAAGTGTTATTGGTGCTTTAAATAAAATAATAAAAATGCTGTTTTTATTTCGCACTGGACTAAATTGTCCCTCTTCTGTATGGCCCCCGCTCGAACATACATGTACTTGGATTTTTTCTTGCAAATTATACAGATCTCTGATAAAACTGACTTCTTTAACTCTGATGAAGTAGTAACAAGTACTGCACCATGATGTGAATCCTTTGGTGATATTAATGAAGGAGTAGGGGTGAATGAGACTCACTTTTAGTTTTTAAATTTGTTGAAGTACTAGGCCTAGTAGTAGGGGTTATGGACATAAAGGCCCTAAACCAAAATGGCTCAAGTATTTGGTCATAATGGTCAAACATTTTGGTCAAAACTACATAACGGTCAAAACATTAGGGTCATAATGGCCAAAAAGAACATTTGAATTTTGATATATTATGTATCAAATGATATTTATTAATATAAATATTGCATAATATAAATACCAATATTTCTTAATAGATAATATTTTCATATACATTTCTTTAATACATAAATTTAAAAACACTGTAGACATTTAATACTTACATGTAATACACTGTATAACTATAACATACATAATTTACAAGGACATCTATTTAATATGGAGGGTGGGTGGCGAATGGTTTAACATGTACACATGAAATCATAAGGTCTGTCATTGCGTCAATGACTTAGTTTCAATTCTCTGCTTGTACATGTACGTGACAAGGACTAGGGTCACTTGTTCAACCTTGTGAGTTTTCTCCGAGTCCCCCAGTTTCCTCCCTCTGCTACAGACCCTTACATGCAAGCAAATTATTTAAATAAAAAGGAACCGTGTCGACTGGACATTAATGTTCAGCTCATGTTATCAGTGGGGTGTGAAAGACTTGATTAGGGATTATCAAAAACTTTGATTAATTAGTATTCCCCTCTTTCCTTTGAATCACAGCATGCAATGTTCTGGGTTGACTTGGATGGTTATATCCAATTCTTTCATTCACAAATTTTTCTGGACTTATGATCTGTAGCCTATATATGATGCACCTTTATTTATTACATTTATTTATTACTTCTACTATTTGGAATAGAAGTGGTCATATCTTGTTGAAGGTTTCGTGAAACCGTGTTTAAAATATTATGTTATGAGTGAATCGAATGATTAATATACTAATAGTAAGTTGTTAAATAATGTTTGGTAAAATATATTATGACCACATCACAGTAATACTAATACTAATAGTCTGTATGTCGTGACAGTTTAGTTTCGGTTGGACTGAATGTAGACGCTGCCTTATCACTGAGTCACTCTCTTTCTTTCTCGCATCATTTAACTGTTTTGTTCTTAAAACATCTATAAAACGTTGGAGAAATCCAAAATCACTGCCGACTCTATCTTCAATATAATATCCTTCGTAATAAAATATCCATTTGTATCGAAAAATGCTGCAATGGATTGGTCATTTCCATCCAATTGAAACCAGTCTATAGCTACCTCACGACATTTATCTCACCTTGTGTTTGTAAAGGGTTCTGCACTTCCCTTATTAACACTGTCTAAGTGAACAATACAAGTTAATTGAGCCTTTGTCGCCATTTCGTGTAGCTTCTACATGTATAACTGCAATGTGTTCCTCGTGAAGCACGTCATTTTGTGTTTACCAACAACACACGCGAATGTAGACAATAACGTGATTGGTCTATGGTGGAAAAAACGATCACGTGACGCGGCGAACAACGCTGAATTCTGTCCAGTGACCTCGCGCACTATGAATTTTACTATCAATAAATAGTCCGGATTTCAACGAAGAATATCCACGAAGAACTATGGAATTTTTTGGAGAACATTACAACAAACGAATATCTCTATATGAACTATACACTGACAAAATTTCTTCTAGACCGGATTTGTAGGAACGAAAATATTTTTGCAACGACAATTTGTGCCCATGGAATGTGGCCTATAAGGGATTTGATGGGGTTTCTAGCACAACTGCTGTTTCAGGCATACTTGCCAGTCTTGAATGACTTGCAGTAAAATTGATTGACTGGAGAACTTAGATTTCAAGCAGTTTACATGGATTTCAATTAGAATTTATACTAAAAGAACAAAAATCTTTAAAATATATTTAAAAGTTGGGATAATTCTACAACTACATGTGTCTTGCTAATCTAAAGTAAACAAGATGCATTATATATTAAAAATTGATAGACTGACAAGAGTTCGAAGTGAAAGCCCTACAACAGACCTTAAATAACATTATCATTTTGTTATCTTTTACTGCTTTATTATGATGGATGAGTGAATATTATTCTGAGTACAGCTGTCATGGAAAAAATATATTTTACCTGTACATTTACAATGCATGTCAGTATAATTTATAAAGGAGATGTACATCTGTTTCTGTATCATTATAGCTCGGGGGATGCTTACACCTGGTTCCCGGATTCATTCACTTGATTTGATGTTTGTTCTTTATTTTTTTACAATGTCTGTAGTTTGTCTTATACACAAGTTTGTCTTGTCGGTTTTGTTTTGCGTGTAGTGCAGTTTTCCTCCACTTACTATTACAAAAGGTTCATGTAGATAATGATAACAGATATGTGTACATTTGTACATGTACTCGGATCAAATTCTTGGTGCTTCATTGAATGGCTATCTTAGTTAAAGAATGCGTTATCACTACTACCAGATAGTTCAATATGATATACATAAGCGTAATTAAAATGTGTTATACATGTACATGTATAGTAAATCTGTCAAAATTGTTTATTTTGTGTGCCAGAATTAGCTGTTAGTATTTTTTTCTAGTTTTCAAAAATGACCAACATTGAAAATTTTGAATTGGAAACCCGGGTTTCCACTTTTTCCACATGGCAATTGCTACATGTATTTCTGGTTTGAACAGCCAGTGACGTCATTAATACAAACTTCACTTTAGTGTGAGCATATGCATATAATTTGATTCTGATTTTGTACATGCATGTAGCTTTGATCATTATCTACATATTGTATCTATTGTAAATATATTGATACATTATGGGAGATTCGATAACGAGTTGGCAGTTCTCACTATAATTGTTAAAAACTAGATCATCTAAAGGCAATTTGCTGGAAATTTCATTCAAATTGATCCACTATGAACCAAGAACAAAGCGATTGAATTTCCGCCTAGCCTTTATCATCATTACTAAAGTCAGTACAATAAACAGCATAGTCTCGATTATCCATTTAATTGTTAAATCGCGAAGGAAAGTTATGCAGTAAATTGGCTCACAATCCACTAAGATCGCAGGCTAGCAATGCCATCTAGAGTTGATTATGGTCTGGATAGGTTAATTAATGTCTAATTAATAATTTAGATAACATTTCAGGCCTAAAGAAAGACCTGCAATAGGCAGATTTAGCTCTTGTATAATGTATGTTTAATCTGCCTGCTGTTATTGAATACAATGTGCTATGAAAAAAAAATTAATTTGTAGATGTGAACCTAAAACTTGGATGATATCGTTTTCAGAAACCAGATAACCCATCATGGACTGGCACGTGGGATGCCACATTTTATCGTCCGTCTTGTCCACAACAGACCTGGTTAATCCGAGAAACACTACCTGGATATTCTGATACAAGTGAAGATTGTCTTTATTTAAATGTCTTTGCACCAAATGTAAGTACAATTTTCAACATTTCAGCATATGTAGTTATTAGAATTGGTTCAAAATCCTGACTTGGGTTTACACAGAAAAAAAACTTTGAGATTTTCTTGCCCAGCTTTCAGCCTGTCATAAATAGCATGTGTGGGAATGGGTTAATATGATTGTCTAAATTCCGTCAATATTGTATATTTTATCTGATTGATTTTCATTAAATATAGGTTTATTTGAACATTTCTCATTTCAAATATATAATATCAGTTTTGCAGGAAAGGTGTTTTGTTGAATAATTATAGCCACAGAAAATGAACAAATAGCATTATGTCCCAAACTAAATTGTATTTTTGGTTAAAAATGAAAGCCCCTTTAGAAATCCACATATGTACACAGTAAAATTTGTTGAATTTATTTCAGATCAAAAATGAAGGCATCTCTACAAATCCACCGCTCTATCCCGTTTTGGTATTTATCCATGGGGGTGGATGGATCATGGGATCTTCTGTTCAATATCCAGCAATGTTAATAGCTGAGAGACTGGTTGTTGTTGTCACAATTAATTATAGATTAAATGCTTTAGGTAAGACCAGGTCCTTTTCAAAAAACATTTCTGTAGATAGACTAATATATTCTAAAATATTTTATCTTAACCAGAATTTGTAGATATCCTCTCATACTTCAAATTTTGTAATATCAGATGTTTTTATAGGTAATGATAGGGAGAACCAAAGTGTGTTGTTTATTATTGTTCTTGAATTTACCAGCTGGTGGAATCTCAAGGGGGTGTTGGTCGAGTGGTGTAATGCATACACCTTAGATCAAATATTGTCTGCTGTCATTCAGTCGTGTGGCATGATTTCGAGTAGGAGTCGGGTTCTGCGAATTGACCTGGTTTGTGTCATGCTGTAAACTCTCAACAAAGTTTTATTATTGGTGAAATGGTTATATGTACATACATACATTTGTATTAAAAAAATAGTAAAATTCAGGAGAACAAGGCAGCTGGTGGGAGTACATGAAGGTCACCTATATGCACCTTTAGAAAAACATGATATTATTTCCATTGGTAGTTGTGTGATTAGGGGGTTGATAAAGGTTTTCTAGTTGTTCATATGTATCCCCAAAAATGAACTCCCAAACACAAATTGGTAGTGCACAGCAAAAATGTCTGGATATTTTCTTCCTCTTGCATTGCTAATGAAATGGGCATTTAACATCTTAGTTTGTGCTCCATTCGGGCTAATGAAGATGGGATATGCCATGTAGTATGCCATAAGTGAAATTTTGCCTGGACAGCGACGCTGTGGCCTACTCTAATTTCCAATTTCATCTGTCAGGGGTTCTTTTACATGCATGCCAATGTGTACACAGTACCTTTTTTATCAATGTTCCTGTCAGACCCCTCCTTCCTGCACCATTGTCAAGGGTTAACCACGCTCTAAATCCTGAGGAACTTTCTTGACCACCACCAGGATCGAGAACATGCATCTGCTAGTTAGGAACCCAGTTCCTTTCTCACTGGGTAACTGCCTTACTAACTCACCCACACTGTGTCTCTCTTGCATTGCACACATAATCAAAATATTGTTTACATGGGTTTGGATGTTGTCTCCCAAAGTGGGTTTCTGCAATTTCCCCTGAACTTGTCAATCTCGAGACCTCTCATTATTTTAATTTTCTTTCAGGATTTTTAAGTACAGGTGACGTCCACTCGCCAGGAAACTATGGTCTTTGGGATCAACTGAAGGCTTTAGAATTTGTGAAACAACATATTGCAGCTTTCCGTGGAAACCCTTATAAAATAACTGTAATGGGTCAGAGCACAGGGGGGGCCAGTGTCGGACATCATATAGTATCACCTAGGAATGTTGGTAAGTAATTTTAAAAACGGATTGGATTAGACTGTGGAGTGAAAAGAAAAATCATGTTACAAATGTTGGTAGCTAATTAATACTTCCAAATATGTAAATTGTGGTATCAATTTGGCAATTTAAGTTTACTGTTTTGTCCAAATAAATTTTAACGAGCTACAAAAGTCAAATCAAGTATTGGCTGGAAGTGGTTCAATTTCTGCCAAACCTCTTTTGGTTTCTGATATCAAAACCATCCCTCAGAGAGAAGTGACAAGTGTAATTCACAGGGCAGTGTATGCTTAATCTAGTGATCACCCTGGGTTTCATTTTCTTTCATCAGATTATTCATTTAAATTTCATACCATATATTATTTCCACCAATAAAAAAAATAAGTCTTCTGATTATTTTTTTTTTTAACATTTTTAATTACCACATAATGACATAATGAACATAAACCTTCTTCTGATGCCTAGTTATTTTTTCAAGATTTTGCAATATAGACCTTTCCAAGAACACTCAAAATTTGACATTATTATTGGACATTGAAGAAGCTTCAGTTCGAGTTTTTCATTTACGACCCATGGCATGATATATGAGTTGATAGACTCAGACTGACTGTCTCCGATTAACAATTGAGCTGTTCTTGATTCATAGCATGTCAAGAAATGTATTATTAAAATTTGTACTGAAATAATTTCATCAGAAATGTTGTTGAAATGACATCAAGAACATGGATAAGACACTGTTAGACTGTTCTTAATTCATAGCTTATTAAGAAATGTATGATACAAATGTTAGTTTGGTCCAAAATCATAATACCCATACAATTAATCTGATCTGAATTTCCTTTTTTTCTTATCTTTGTAGACTTGTTTCAAAGAGCCATTATGTTGAGTGGTTCAGATCTGAGTGAATGGTCAGTTATTCCTAAAGCTGATTCAATTAAATATACCAAAGCTTTGGCTTACGAAGTTGGATGTCCGGTTTCAGAAATGGAGAGATTGATGGATTGTTTGAAATATTATCGAACATACGATGAAATAGTTAATGCTTCGATGAGAGTTACTTTACTGGTAAGTTTTACTTAAATTAAAACGATGAAAATTTTGGTACATGTAGTTGTGACATCTTGCAGAAATCCTTAGAACTAACTTGTTTTTTGTCAGGAATTCATTTAGTGTAACAGTTAGTGAAAGTGTTTTGTTTTGAAAAATAGATAATGTAATGTAATATAAGTTTTTTCAGTCTAATTAAAATATCACATCCAGGAACTATATATGTTACATACTATGAGCAAAGCATTTTGCATGAACATTTACTCATCACCTTGAAGCCAGATCACTAAATTAAAAGTCAATTTGAGTAAAGTGTTGTGGTTTTTATCCAAGGATTGTATGTGACGAGGACTCAGGGTCGACTGCCTAACCTTGTAAGTTTTCTAAGGTTCCTCCAGTTTTCTCTCACATCTAAAGACGCCTGCAAGCAAACGAATTATTGAAATGACCCAGTCTTTTGGCAACTTAATTTTTAATTGTTCAGGGTGTTGATAAATATATTGCCACCTTGTGAACAACACTTTTTTTTAAAAATTTCAAAACTAAAAGATTTTGAGAAGGGCACCCAAGTACTTTTAGTTTTAGATTTTTTTTAATAGGCTTTCTTTCCCAAATTGGCCTCTCCTTAGCATTATAAACCTGTAAATCTCTTTGATCTTTGGGGTTTATTCTATGCCCGGAATACTTGCGATCTGAAAGTCAGGGCGGCTTTGGATATATACAGGGAAATTTGGGGTAATTCTTCTGAAAGTTTTTCTTTAAACCTGTACCGGATTGTTCTTCCAGGGTAGGTTTTTTTTTCCATAAGAAAACATGATATAAGGTTTTTCTTACGGGAATTCTGGGATATTCTCATCTCGCGTAGGCCTACATGTAAACATAGACGGTTTATAAGCAAGATAAAGTCCTTGACTTTGATTATGCTGGAGAAGAAAAACTTCAGAAAAAACCCTAGACAGAAAAACCTCGGCCTGCTGGCTTCGGTTTTTCTTTTTCTCGGGTTATTTTCTTCGGTCTTTCTTTCCCCAGCATAACCTCAGTCTCGTGCTTTATCCTACACAGAACTGCAGTTGTAATTGTAGTGATCCACATTAAAGGGTGCAGATTTGGGAGAAAATTTTAATGCTTTATATATCTTTGTTTTTCTTTATATTAATAGAGAGGATCTGTTGGCAATCCATGGGGTCCAGTGGTTGATGGACAGCTTGTTGGTGTAGATTATGCCTTTCTTCCTGATCATCCATCAGATATACGTCTACAAGGTCGATTTAAACGTATTCCTATCATCTGTGGATTAGTTTTGCACGAGGGTTCATTTTTTATTCGTAAGTTTCGTATATTCATATATTTCATTTGATTTGAAATTTTGTGAATCGTAGCTTTCTGGACAGATGTCAGTAAGAGTCAAAACTTTGTACCTTGTTCATTTTTCAAAAGTCATTCAAATCTGTGCAAAAGGAAACTTGTTTATTTATTCTTGAAAGAAAATGATGCACCAATGTATTTTCATATTCGTATGCTTATTTTCCTTTTACTATTTTTTAAGCAAATCTGCCAAATCTACTGGATGGAGTGACGCCCTCACAATTTGAAAATATTTTACGAGAATTTCTCTACGATCGTTCAGCGAAAGATATGATTACTACCTCAGATGCTTTGGAATTTGAATACACTCACTGGCCGGATCCTAAAAACTTCACGCATGTCAGAGAAATGTTGATTAAGGTATTAATGAGTATGATTTATTGTTATATTGTTTGATGAGGGGGTGAAGGGGAGGTAGATGATGGTCCTTTACTGATAGTTTAAATAATCACAACACTTGTTTTGTTTCTCTGCGACTTTATTCTTAATCTCACTTCACATTTTGGGGTCTCAGTGGCTCAGTCTGTATGGCACCATATTCCGGAAGCAACGACTGTGCATTTTACAAGATCCAGCCGTTGCTACATTAGTCTGAAATTCCCAAACTTTTAGGTAGTTATCTCCCTTTACCACAAGACACACAATACAGACACATAAAGGAACTCATGGAAAATCAAAAAGAAAAGTAACTTTATTAGCATAATGGAAGAACAAAGAGTAAATTAGAAAGGTTCGGACTAAGATGTGACATGGGTCATAGTCGAAGAGCGGAAAGTTCCAGCATCTTGACATTGAATGAACCTTGAACTTTGTAACTTGATTATCACAGCTAGACATTTCAGTTGGAAAGCATGCAACATTGTATTCGCAACGATTTTTTCTGTCAAGGAACTCGAGGTCCCCAGCTGGGTCAGGAACCAATCAAAATTAGTGCCGAAAAATGTAGGGTATTAAGTGAATTTTTTAAGGCTTTGGTAAGATGTACAGAAATAAAGCGAGATCAAGCAATGTCACTGGCTCACTATCCTGGTCGTCCAAGGTTCAATCCTAGAGGTTGGCTGGGAATGTACATACAAATTTTTGAGCCTGGTTTTCAATTCTCAGTGGTGCAGGATGGAGAGCCTAGCATGGAACAGTTTCTAGTCGATTGGATCGGACAAAAAACTTAGGTTCCATATGTACAGTTGAAATTCAATGACAAGGGACCGAATTAGGAAAAAAATCCCTAATATCACACTGCTTGGCATATTGTTGGATTGCAAGTAAAAACCCTTGTCAAATGGGATATATCTGGGTATATCTCTGTCTTCATTACCTCAGCTGGTGCAGAAAATTAGGATGTTCATTTCATTCCTTGCATTCTAGTTAATGCACTTACTTTAATGTATATTCAATAAATATATGTCATGATTAAAGGGAGGTAACTACATCAAGTAGACAAGTATACTATAATTAAGGTCCAAATGTATGGTATTTAACCGACTTCTTCAATTTTCAACTGTCATGGAAAATTCTTTAGTGTAAATTTATCAAATAAATCATTGCAAAGAGTATGGTTAAAATTTTGTTATTTGTTTATTTTCAGTTATTATCAGATTTTATGGTTGGTACTGGTACAAACGAAGTATTGAATTCTCATGTTATATTTAATACAGCCTATTCTTACGTATTTAAATATAGATCATGGAATGACTATCTTCCTCCTTGGAGAGGTAAGTGTAATTAGAACTATCTTGCTCCTTGGAGTTGGAAGTGTAATTAGAACTATCTTGTTCCTTGGAGTTGGAAGTGTAATTAGAACTCTTGTCCTCCTTGGAGTGGTAAGTGTAATTAGAACTATCATCCTCCTTGGAGTGGTAAGTGTAATTAGAACTATTGTCCTCCTTGGAGTGGTAAGTGTAATTAGAACTATCATCCTCCTTGGAGTAGTAAATGTAATTAGAACTATTGCCCATCTTGGTGTTGCAAGTGTAATTAGAACTATTGACTATCTTGGAGTAGTTAGTGTAAAATGAACTATGTCCTGCTTGTATTGGTAAGTGTAATTAGAACTATCAGTCTCCTTGAAGAGGTAGTGTAATCAGAACTATGAGACTACTTGGAGAGGTACATGTAGGTGTAATATTACTGTGCCAATTGCTATTCTAGACTACTTTAATGATAAAATTATGTTCAATTGCCTGGTCCCATAGAAAATTTATTTAGTGTGTGTTGACACTAAACTGTTAATACTACATTAATCTCCATTCCACACAAATTTCCATGTTGTAAAAATTCAAATTTTTCAGGAGTTGCAATGGGACAAGATCTACAGTATATTTTTGGTTTCCCATTCTGGAATGAAACGTATACAAATATGACTGGTCTGTATCCACGACAAGAATATGATTACAGTGATAGAAACATCAGCCAATACATGATCAATATGATTACTAACTTTACAGCTAGAGGGTAAGATATACACCATATGTTAGTCCCTATATGTTTGTTTTAATTGGATATTAATATTATACATTTCTCTCTCTCTTTCTGATTACTACACTATTTCTAAACTTAAGATCAAAATATGAAGATGGGGTTCGCATAAAAATCTCAGAGAACATTTTCCTTTTTTTTTTAAACATTAAAGGTACAATAACATGCTCAACAATTTGAAACTAAAACAAAAAGCCTATTTTTGGAGCCTACAGTAGGTGGTTAAACCCCATTTCATTTTTGGGGCTGAATAAGGGAAGGGGTGATTATAATGTATTTTTGGACAAAATATGTGTAGAATTATTTTGTAGGAGCCACGGTGGTTTATTTGAAAGTAATGGTAATATGCTGACTTGCAAACCAGTTTAGATATTCTGGCAAGGAAGAGTGTCTATTTATTTGGAAAGGATGAAGAATCAAGGTTCCGGGTGCATGCTGGGGTGCCCATAAAAGAACCATTTACAGATTTCCTGGGCCCGTCATTCCCTAACTCATATTGCTAACATTTCACACTTTTCCATTCAAAAAATCTTAAATTTTGCTTTTCAATTGATTTCAGGGATCCAACACCAAGAGATTTGCCGTTATTTGAATTCCGTAATTCTAGTTGGATCAGCTATAATCTACAGAATCATAGCTACCTCTCTATTACTAATAAATCAGAGAATCTTACAAACTTCAGGCAGCAGGAATATGCTTTTTGGAGAGAATACTTTCCCCGATTGTCAGGACGTGATTGTAAGTTGAATTTCATCACTGCAGTGAAATTGTCAGCTTTATAAGGCATTCATTTAAATAGAAGGTTTAACCATTGATGGGGATCACGTGGCTAAGTGGGTAAGACGCTGGCTCGCTAGCATGGAGGTCGGGTGTTCGATCCCTGCATTGGCCGAGAAAGTTCATCCAGATTTTCCGGCGTGGTTCCCCCTTGTCAGTGATGCAGGACGGAGGGCCTGACAAGGACAGCTGTCTAGTCCTTCGGATGAGAAGAAAAACCGAGGTCCCATGTATATATTGGAATCCACATTAAAGATCCCCTGGCAGTTGGAATTCGATATAAGAGTAGGCGATAGTGCCGCTGCCCGGGCAAAATTTCCCTCATAGCACACTGTATGGCGTATGCCCGTCTTCATTAGCCCAGTATAGGAGCAAAACAGTAGGACGTTAAACCCCATTTCATTTCATAAAACCATTGATGGACACTGGACTGTGATTGGTCAAAAATATCACATTGTTGCCAGTCATATCGGCAAACAATTTGCCCATATGTTGGTACTGTAGTGATGTAATAACAGTAACCGGTCGCGAGAGAATATGTAACTTTGGGCAGCCACATTGGTTCGCTAACCTGGAGGATCCCGTGTATTGTCCGAGAAAGTTCATCAGGATTTTTTTCCGGCGTGGTTCCCCCTTGTAAGTGGTGCAGGACAGAGGCCCTGGCAAGGGGCAACATATAGTCATTCGGATGGGACCAAAAAAATGAGGTCCTGTGTACATATTGGCATGCACATGAAAGATCCCTTGGCAGTTGGAATTCGATGTAAGAGTAGGTCGTAGTGCCAATGTCCCACATAGCACACTGCGTGGTGTATGCCTGTCTTCATTAGCCCAATTGGAGCAGAACAGTACGACCCCATTTCATTTCACATAACTTTGAGAACTGTGGATTAGTCACCTGATGTTAGACGGGAGCCAGTTGTAAGATAGTTTGAGCGGTTGGATGACCGAATGGTTAGCATGTGCGTGCTATATCATAAGGTCTGTCATTGAGTCAACTAGCATGGTTTCGATTCCCCGGTTGTACGTGACAAGATTAATGATTACATATACAATAAACATCTTCAGATATATAATTTAGATTTGTCTGTAGTTGTTTTTAATTTATTACCTTTGTGTCTTAAATTTAAAGATAAATGAATATGTTAAATACCAATTTAAATGTATTCGAAATTTAGATTTATGTCCAACCTCGTGGGTTTTTTCCGGGTCCTCCAGTTTCCTCCCACTGCTAAAGATGTGTTAGTCCCGATATGACCTAGTTTGTGTCCAATGGAGGTTAAACCCCATTTCTCTCTTTCTCTCTCTAGGGGGGTTAGATGGTCGAATGGTTAGCACGCGCGCGCTGTATCATACGGTCTGTCATGGATTCCCCGGTTGTTCGTGCCAAGGAATGGGGTCGCCTGTCCAACCTCGTGGGTTTTCTCCGGGTCCTTCGGTTTCCTCCCACTGCTAAAGACCCCTACGCACATGCAAATTATTGAAATATTTAACCATGTGTTAGTCCCGAAATGACCTAGTTTGTGTCCAGTGCAAATATTTGTCCTTAATGTAGGCTACTTCATGTGCATTGTTTAAATATTAGATTAAAGGAAATGTCGAGGACTGGTGCTTATGTTGTTTTGTTTCCTTTTCTTTTTCAGTTTATGGGAGTTTGACTGCTCCATCACCAGAAATAGAAAAAACGTCTCATTATGAAAAGGCTACCTGGTCTCTTACTGCTGCCGCTATTTTATTGTGTATCGTTCTTATTTCATTATTCATAGTTATGTGTTGTAGAGGAAGTAAAAAAGACTATAAATGACCCCATATGACATCAATGCCAACTTCAACCACAAAACGAGCAGATTATCATGAACCCAACAATCAGCAGCGACCTCATGAAAATGTTGCTCTTTTTCATTTCACCAAATAGTGTACTTTTTGTCCCCCGCCTTTCGAGGATAATCAGTTTGATTACTCAATACTTTTGAAAAAGGTAAATGTGCCATTAATTAATGTGTCATCTGTTTTTATTTTTTTTATTTTGGCGGGGGACATCAGCCTCACTGTTGGCTTGTTATTTTTAATGTTTTGTGGATCTTAGTTAGAACGATAAAAATATGGGATCGGCACCAAATTGGATCGAGCATACCTGGCATTGATGATCAACATTGGATGGCAGAAAAATATCAAAATGGAACTTTGAACATTCCAAAATACATGTACTTGGCCAGGCACCAAGTCAATGAACTTTTGTTTCTTTGCTCAACTTTATTATCCCACCCTGACTGAGGTTAATGGGGAGTATATTCAAATCTGATATTGTAAACTAACCTTATGATTTTCTCTAATTGTAATTCATTTTGACACAGACGGTCAAAAATATTTTGTTTTTAAAATATTCCAGATTATAAAACCCTGTGATTTTAAATATAGATCTGTACTTTATATTAGCAAATTGATAATTAACTTCCATTTTATATTTTGACATAGCAAGTTATGTTTGAGACACTAAGCCAGATGGATCACAAATGGCATCATTTGATTTTTTGAACCCAAGCTTACACATTCCTACACAATTACTGGGATATTCAGTTTTAAATGCACATATTATATACATATATTTTTTTTTTAAATATAATTTTGTTTCCTTTTAGATATACAATTGTATATTTTGTATATATAAATACATTTACTAAGAAAAGAACTATAAATCAGTTCTCTAATCTGTACCTCATTTGAATAAATTATCATATCATTTTCATAAATTAACATTGTAATCAATCACATTTACATTCAATTTATTTTTTACAATGTGATTTTTTAGCCTAGTTTTCATTTTATTAATTAATTTATCATTTGTAAATAAAATCATCATCATTAACTTAGTTTAGTTTATTCAAATTAATAAAGGGAAGAAATTCCAATTCTTAATCAATACAGCTCACATGGTAAATGTTAATAAAGACCCATTTGGTAAAAGAAAGTCAGAACTGTGAAGCAGAAATAAATTAAACATACATTATGCAAGAGCTAAATCTGCCAATTTGAAGGTCTTTCTTTAGGCCTGAAATGTTATATAAATTATTAATTAGACATTAATTAACTTATCCAGACCATAATCAACTCTCGATTGCATCGCTAGCCTGCATATTTACTGGATTAGAACCTGGTCTGTTGCTTCTGATTAAATCAAAAACTGGATAATCGAGACTATGATTTTTATCGTATTGACTTTAGTAATGATGATCGAGGCTATGCCCAAAATTCAATGCTAAATACATGGTTCAGGGTTGATCAATTTGACTGAAATTTTCAACAAATTCCCTTTACATTATCTAGTTTTTAATTATTATAGTGAGAACTACCAGCTCTTTATCTAACTACCATAATGTATCTTTAACAATGACATTAACGCTCTTTCTCCATGACATCACTGTTATGTGAAAGCATGCAGTGACATTATTGTAGGTTTATAAATTAATCAGGTTCCCAGAAAATAGTTTCAAATAGAGTAACCTAGTTATTTTTATTCATTTATCATGCACAAATATTAATTATATAGTAATTTATCCAATTTTTATGAATTTCTCGAGATTTCCATTTTAATATAAATGAAAGTGAATAATGATATAATATTTTGTAAAATAAATTTTTCTATAAGAACTCTGTTTTGCCTCATTTATAACAATTTACAAGAAACATTTCTTACCCAAGTTGGCTGTTATATAAAGGCATTATTAGTCTAATATTTGCCCATTTGTGATATTATGAATGTTTTGGGGGGATTGAGCTGTTCTGTAGGATAGATCAGGGTAAGTTGAGACATGGCTTGGGTTGATCCACTCTCTCTACCAGGCATCTGATGTTAGTTTCTGTTTCAATAGTGTTACCTTCTTATTTTAAACTCACTTATCTATCCGTGGTTGGAACCTCCACCCACCCGTATCCACCACCCATCCCTATCCACTCCATCCAACTGGGGGGGGGGGGTGCTGCACACATGTAGAGCCACATGCATCTTGGCGTGTTTAGTTGGCGATAAATGAAGAAGACCTATCCTTTCACCAAAAAATTAATTTCATCAGGACAAGCAATATTTCATTATGGGGGCTATATATCTCGAGTGCGAGACATTAAGTAATATATTGCTATTGTACGAGTGCAATATCATAAGGCGTTTTTATCGACCACTGATTAGCCAAAGTGATTTGCATTCAATCAGATTTTCACCTTTAACGTCCATCTAATTCAAATTGGTTACCCTAATCAACGAATTTATCGACACCGATTTCCGAAGGGATTACATTAAATCGCCAAATCACTTCAGGGTGCGATTTGATCGGGTGATCACATGTTTTTTTCAACTGTGTCCAGCCACAACAATTGTTTACAGCTAATCGGGGTATTTAACGAACCCGCCAAAGTACTTTGAAATCGACTATACTGTCACATGACATCTCCACTAAATTCAAATCGATTTGGCAAGTCGATAAAAAAGCCTTGTATATTACGCAATATCTTGCACGAGACCATTAAACAACTTAAAATACAGACACTATCCAGCACGTGCATTTCAATGAAATGTATCACGCGGGTCCAATATTGCAACTAGTATAAATAATATAAGCTTGGCACATTGCCCGTACTATTATTTGAAATAATGGTACCCAACATCAAAGGAGGACGTCACATATGTATTTTAAGTACTTTTAATGTATCCAGATACATGTAGGCCCTCAAGGTAGCTTTTTGAAGATAGTATACTTTAAAGAATTGCTAATACTTGACCAAGAGGTACATTGTGGATAAGGTGACCTTGAAACAAATAAATGAATTTGAATGGGCTTTTATCCTTTTTTTCTGCACCAACCGGTCTATTGAAGAAGGACATATGCATACAGTGTGATAAAAGGAAAATTTTGCCCGGGCAGCATTTGAATTCAAAATGTCAACCGTTCTCTACATAGAGAGAGAGGGGGGGGGGAGAGAAATGGGGTTCAACGTCCACTCGGCACAAACTAGGTCATTTCGGGACTAACACATGGTTCAATTTTATTTCAATAAATCGCTTGCGCGTAGGGGTCTTTAGAAGTGGGGGACCCGGAGAAAACCCACGAGGTTGGACAGGCGACCCTACACCTTGTCACGTACAACCGGGGCGTTCTCTACATACACACCAATGTGTACAGGGAACATTGATTGTGAAAACTAAGAGGCCTTTTGGGTTGAAATACATTGTCAATAACAAATTTCAGTCTTCACAATTGCCTTTTATATTAGGAGAATAGATTTCATGTTTATCCTTGTATATGACTGGATTATAACTCATCACTGATGAATATCTTATATTAAATTATACAATATCAGCCACGGTTCACTGAACATTCAATGAGAATGAGCTTCTTGTATTATATATTATAGACTTAATATATCACACCTGGTATTAAAGGGATATTCACATTTATTACAATTGAGCTCGGCTTTCTCGCGCATTATATGGGGGGTTGCGTGGCCGAATGGTTAGCACGTGCACGCTACATCATAAGGCCTGTCATTGAGTCAACTGGCGTCGTTTGGATTTCCCGGTTGTACATGACAAGGAGTAGGATTCGCTTGTTAAACCTGGTGGGTTTCTCCGGGTCCTCCGGTTTCCTGCCACTGCTAAAGACCCCTACGCGCAAGCGAATTATTAAAATAAAATTGACCAATATGTTAGTCCCGAACTGACCTAGTATGTAGACGGTAAAACCCACCTCTGTCTGTCTGTCTGTCTCTCTATATCTCTCTCTCTCTCTCTCTCGCGTCCGCTCTCTCTCTCTCTCTCTCCCGTCTTCATTAGCCCAGTATAGGAGCAGAACAGTAGGACGTTAAACCCCATTTCATTTCATCTCTCTCTCTCTCTCTCTCTCTCCCTCTCTCTCGTGCGCGCATTATCTTTTAGATAGACAAATACTTTACTTAAAACAGCAAACTTGGTTACGGTAACATGGATCGAGAACAAAAAATTGTGATAGTTACTCATCGTGCTTATATATGTAAGTATGTACGTCGTGATACATCCACACAAGTCATCCACTGACAGAACAATGCATAAAAGCATGCTAAATTTTGCCAGGGCGGGTGTGTTTCTTCTCAAGTAGCCTTCTTATAGGGGTATCTTTACGTATATTTCGGTGATACATCCCCGCCAGCTACAATAAATCAAAATCTGGGAAAATAATACGTTCTGATGAACGACTGTACTTGCCATCCAGTGATGAACGCTTTCCCAAGCTTTAAATGCAAAAATAACGACAAAATAAATTCGAAATGCCCCAATGACCATAGAATAGCACCCAGTTTTCAATAATTACCTGAAGAATTCTGCCCTGAATTCGTGTTCACATAATTAGAACTAAATGATAACTCCGCGATTTGCTATCCAATATTCTGCTGTTCGGTCTTATTTTCTTACCCAATGAATAATCCTTGAAAAAATCCCGGATCTATAAAGTGTTCTCAAAGAACACTCCGGTTGACGGAACCATAGACCTGCGGGATGTCGATGACGTTACATAAAAAACAGTACCTCCAGAAAAGTGTAAAAATACCTTTAAGGTGTTTTCTTTATTGTAATTCAATAACACCCCTAGGTCCATAAAATTGAAATCAATATCTGACCTATTGTAAAGTAAACACGATCAATTTCTAATGAGTGCTCCTAGGTGTGATGTTGATGCAGGGCCGAGTCTCGTAAGAATCATACAGTAATTATGTAGGTATTATTTTTATATGCATGACTTACTTAAAGATACATTATGGGAGATTCGATAACGAGTTGGCAGTTCTCACTATAATAGTTAAAGACTAATGTAAAGGCAATTTGCTGACAATTTCATTCAAATTGATCCACTATGAACCGAGAACTAACGATTGAAATTTCCATCTAGCCTCGATCATCATTACTAAAGTCAGTACGATAAACAGCATAGTCTCGATTATCCATTTAATCGTTAAATCGTGAAGAAAAGTTATGCAGTAAATCGGCTCATAATCCACTAACGATTATGGTCTGGATAGGTTAATTAATGTCTAATTAATACTAGGATAACATTTCAGGCTCAAAGAAAGACCTGCAATAGACAGATTTAGCTCTTTTGCATAATGTATGTTTAAATATGTTCTTTTGAACTACTGGGACTGTAGTAATACTCGTAGTTATAAAATATAATTTAAATTTACTTATATTTGTTCATGTTATTTCAAAAGTGTAAGATCCTGTTAACACTAAGTAAAATGAGTATTGATTAACGAAAAAGGTGTGTTTTAGTATGTCATCTTTTCCCAAGACAATTCTTTCAAAACTAAAGATAACTCTTGAAGCATAGCATTAAAGTAACAACTATTTATGACTGAGTAATGGAGAGCACTTGTCGCTGTAATAGCACATTGTATGGTGTATGTCCGTCTCCATTAGCCCAGCCCCCCCCCCCCCACTGCTAAAGACCCCTACGAGCAAGCGAATTATGGAAATAAAATTGAAGCATATTATTATGTTAATCTCGAAATGACATAGTGTGTGTCGAGTGGACGTTAAACCCTCGCTTTCTGTCTCTCTCTGTCTCTCTCTCTCTCTCTCTCTCTGCCCAGTCGATGTGGAGCAGTAGGACGTTGAACCACAATTCATTCCTAACCAGTGGTTCAAATAATTATGAAGTTCTACGGATGAATGCTGAAAAATCAAGTAACGACAGCAAGTCTTACAAACTATTTTATACAATGGAACTACCTCTTGTTGCTATCAATTGTATGAGCTTATATACAGACCAAGATAGCGGGGTATATTCAGTAGAATATAATAGAAAAAATAGTTGTTGAATAATTGGTTAAATAAGACTGTTTTGTTCCCCCAGAAACTTTTGAAAACTTTGATATTAATACGCCAATGTATCTGTTATCGCTCGTCACTTCAGTCAGTTATATAGAAGGATAAGTCGTGTTTTCCTTTTGGTTTCGTCACTTCCGTTTCTCCAAATCTTCATTATGAATCTATCGTAGGAATGATCTCTCTGATGAAATCATATTTGGAATGTGTTTAACCAGTTCTATCCCATGTGATAATGGCTGACACCAATAGTGCCCTTTAGCAGAAACTTTAAAGTTGCAATTTCATATTTTTACGTTATATTTTTAAAATTTATTAAAATAAAGCCTTAAAATAGATGATATCTATAAACAGTCCTACTTTGTTAAAGAATAATCCTATTAATCCTATAATTCACTACTGCTGGTTAAGAAATTGGCAAAAATAACATTTTCCTCTTCAAATTCAAACGTTTGAGGATAGCTACTCCATGGTGGAGAATAGAAAACAATGGGGGTAATTGGGAGGTAATTGTGTTATTATTTCCGGTGTAAATGAGTTTTAAGTGTGAGAATGACACCTATGATCGTATAATAGTGAGTTGACAACCTATTGAGCAAAAGACATAGAAATAATTATGTTTTGACTTTCTTAGAAAATATGAAATTGTAACTTTAAGGTTAAAACGTAGCATATAGTGGCACACTCCACCAGCCATATAAATAAAAAATGCACATGCCCTAGTTGTCAATTGTATGTATCAATTCCTTTGAGATGCATTATGTAATTACTATAAGTATATAATTTTTAACCACGTTTTGGG